CATTTAACTTAAAATGGGGTGTAGTGGGGGGAATTGTGTCTTCCCCCCCTCCCCACCAAATATATCTTCAAGTCCTAACCACTAGCACCTGTGTGACTATTATCTTATTTGGGAAAAGGGGCTTTGCTGATGTAATCAAGTTCAGATGATGTCATACTGGATTAGTTAAATCCAAAACTGGGGTCATCATAAGAGGAAGGAGAAAGAGATTTTGATACAGAGAAACAGGAGACACACAGGGAAGAAGGTGATGTAAGGACAAAGTAAGAGACTGTGCAAGCCAAGGAACGCCAAGAATCACCTACCACCAGAAGCTAGAGGAGGAAAATGGAACAGATTCTCTTCTCTCTCAGAGCTTCCAGAAAGAACCAACCCTGACATCACCTTGATTTCAGACTTCTGGCCTCCAAAACTGAGAGAGGGCCAAGCCCGTGGCGCACTCGGGAGAGTGTGGCGCTGGGAGTGCAGCGGCGCTCCCGCCGCAGGTTCGGATCCTATATAGGGATGGCCGGTGCGCTCACAGCGCTCACTGGCAGAACGCGGTGCGGCCGGTCTCAAAAAGGACAAAAAAAAAAAAAAAAAAAAAAACTGAGAGAAAAATTCCTACTGGTTTTAGCCACCAGTTTGTGATACTCTTTTCTGGCAGCCATAGGAAATTAATGCATGGTGGGGAGGATGGGGAGTGGAGTGTAATATAAAAAGGTACAGATGTATATCATAAACACCCCAAAACAGACATTAAAATACAGCCAAGGGACTTTTGGTATACAGAAGAGTATCCACCCCCAAAGATGGGCATATGTTAATCCAACAAACAAGTGAATGTTTGAGTCTAAATGGCAAGAGACTTTGTAGATGTGACTGAATTAGGGATTTTGAGATGGGAAGACTATCCTGGATTGTTAGAGAAGACCTAATATAATCACATGGGTCATTATAAGAGAGAGGCAGGAGGACTGGAATGAGAGGAGGAGATGTAGCAACAGAAAGAGGTTGGAGTGAAGCAGGGTCATGAGCCAAGGAACTCGGGCAGCCTCCAGAAGCAGGAAAAGGCAAGGAAATAAATTCTCTCCTAGGGCCTCCAGAAGTAATGCACCCCTGCAGACCCATTTTAAATTTCTTTCTTCCAGAACTGTAAGATAATACATTTGTGTTGTTTTAGGCCACTAAGTTTGTGGTAATTTGCTACAGTAGCAACAGGAAACAAATACATGGCTGAAATTTCAAATTTTGAAATTCTGGCTATTCCCTTTACCTCTTGGTAACCAATGTCATGCCTGAAATTCCAAAGTTTGTATGCTGTAGTAACTGCAATTAATATCCCAGAGGAAAAAAACTACATTCTTTAATTTTTTTCTGGGGTTTGCATTACCACTGCTTAATCTGATATTGGGGCAATTTAAGACGTCATTCCTAAAGAAAAAAAAAGTTATTCCTGGGAACCTCAGGGGAGGAAAATAAAGAGGCATAAGTGCGATTTAAGAGTGGGTGCAAAATACAGAAGTTACTAAGATTTGGCACTCATTTTTTTCCATTTTTTTTTAACAAATTACAATTTCTCCAATGTCATCTACGACTGTGATACCTCCTCTGAGATGTTCTTTAGCTTGAGTGCTCTTAAAGATACCTGAAAAGGCTCCTCCCCAAGTTTGGCTTTCCCCTCAAGGTTCTTAATGCAGTTTTTCAACGTCTCCTGGGTTACCTGTGAGGGTAGAAATTAAGAATCTTGATTTTCTTTTGCAAGCCCCACCTTTTCCACTAATGGCATCTGACCAGGATAGGATTTATTCAGGTTCTCTCATGATGGTCCCGGAAAAAAGTAATTTGGGGTCATTTCGGGTATGCCAGTTATACCTCCTAATACATTCTTGAGCTTGGGTATCATAATGGTATACTATAAATTGGTATACTATAAATCCAGGAGTGAGTCTCCCTGACTCCACATGAGAGCACCCATAAAAATGTGACTCTGGCCTAGAGACAAAAATAAGGCCCACAGGAAAAATAAGATGACCCCTTTAAGGGATGGAGCAGTGTAACAAAAACTATGGTCCCCATCTGAAAAAAATGAAAGCCTTCCTGAAATCTGCAGGGCTCAGGGCAGAGCTCTGCCAGGAGTCCCTCAGCAATTGAGGGGAGATAGGTGGGCCAGACAGCAAGATGTCAAGGGGTCTCAGCATGTGTGTCCTGTCCCTGTTCAGTTGCCTACCTCCCCTAACCTTTAAGCTCTGGAACTGCTCCAGACCATGACAAACTGTTGGGGGAATAAGAACCAAAAACCACACACTTGAAATTTTCTGAAATATGACTTGTTTACTACAAAATTTGCATGGAGAAAGGAATTAGGGAGTATTTACCAGTCTGAAGTCAGGTGACTACTTTACCACAGTTCACAATACACCAGTTTTCTTTATACATGAGTACATCCCAAGATCCCAGCCACCTTCTACCTTATCAGAAATTATTTTGAGATCTGGGAAGAAGGTCCTTGTATTCTCAAACTTATTGTATATATTGAAAAACAATTTCAAGTTTGAATATGGGAGAGCAGTAAGAAAATAGGTAAAATATACATTTGAGAAAAGATACAAACATACATTTTGAAATCAAGGAGAATCACAGCAAACAAGGTAAAATATGCACATGAAAGTGGGATTCACTTTTGAAAAGGGAGTGTTTGGAGATAAGAAAAACCAAGTGTTTTTTCCTACTCTCTCAATAGAGACTACCTCTGGTCGCCAATGTGTGGGGATTTCTCTCCACCAGCAACCAGTTCTGAAGCGTCTGCTTCAACTGGACACCCAGTTGGGTTTCCCAAATTCAATTGTGACACTATTTACCTGGACATAGCATCAGATACCACAGGTGAGGGCTCAGTCCCATAAGATTATCCCCCACTTTAGATGCCAATCTCAAGCCCCAAGTTGTGTCCTGTTTTTCTGACTGCCAGACCCCCTCCTTGGGTTTGATGAGTAGCTCAGAGAACCTAGGGAAACACTTATGTTACCAATTTATTACAAAGGACTCAGATGAACAGCCAGATGGAAGAAAAACACAGGGCAAGGCATGTGGGAAGGGGTGCAGTTTTCATTACCTCTCCAAGAGTACCAACTTCTAAGAACCTCCACATGTTCGGCTATCAGGAAACTTTCCAAACCTGGCCCTGTTGGGTTTTTATGGAAGCTTCATTTAGTCATAACTGATTAAACCACCAGCCACAGGTGACTGGCTCAACCTTCAGCATTTCTCCCTCCCCAGAGGTTGGGGGGGGGGCTGCAAGTCCCAACCCCTTAAAAATCATAGCTTGGCCTTTCTGGAGACCAGCCCCCATCTAGGGACACCAGTCATCTCATTAGCATACAAAAGACACTCTTATTACTCTAGGGATTCCAGGGGTTTTAGGAGTTATATGTCAGGAAATAAGACGACCAAATATATATTTAACAATATCACAGGGAGTCACAGCACTCCTTTATATTTTAACTTTCAAAGAAAGTGACAAACAGGGTGGGGAAAGGAGATGATTTCTTATCACAATATGAAAAATATCTTAATCAGTACACAATGACACACACAGCAAAGGCCAAGTTGTTCCAGAGTTAGCTGTATCTGCCAAAATTTTTCTCAAGATCCCTTTCTCCTTTTTACTGTAATACAAACAACACGCACATTTCTGCCTCTGCTTCCTTGATTGTACATATGTTGCAAATATAGTCAATTCTTGTTATTTGTGGTAGTTATGTCCTATGAAGTCCACAAACACTGAATAAGTAAATACTGAACGTAATCATTTAGATTAAATGCTAGGGAACATACAGGGTTAGGTTCCTGTAAGCCTTGACATTTTTCTCAATAGATCGATTAAATATACGAGAGTACTTCAAGAAGTTCATGGAAAAATTAGTGTTATCTTTAAATTCTATTTCTCCATGAACTTTTCCAAGTACCCTTATATTGTTGATTCAATAACACAACTCTCTGCCAACAGCACTGTAACTCATGCATGAATGAAGTTTATTTAACACACAGATTTTGTCCTTAAAGCACATAACAGCCTTCTTAGGTCAGGAACATTAGGACAGCACTTTGGTACAACACTTGGAAGCCATTTTAAACAACAAAATCACCAACAAAAAGCAAAGAAATGAGAAAAACATAGCATTAAAAGACCACAAAAAGGACACAAAGTTTATTGTATGAGAGCTGAAACAAGAAGGCAGACTGTTACTTTGTTTGACCTCTGTTAGGAACATGTGCATAAGGTGACTCAAATTTTTGTTCACAAATGACCTCGAAAGCACTGCAAATATTGATTTTGGGTTTACAAATAAATTTAGCAAGTAGGTAAATCTCCACATAATGAAAATCAACTGTACAGAAATTTCAATTCCTTCACTGTGATTGGCAACCACAGTTCCCTCATTCCAGGCAGTCATAAACCAGGACTGGGAATTGAGAAAAAGAGAACCCATACTAGAGGCTGGGAAAGGGAGGAGGAGAGGAAATAACGAAAGGTTAATAGACACAAAATTATAGCTAGACAGGAAAAATAAGTTCTTGTGACATACAGTAGTGCTAGGCATCTATAGTTAATAACTTACTGCTATGTTCTCGAATGGATAGAAGAGAGGAGCTCAAATGTTCTCAAAAATTCTCAAAAGAAATGACAAACGTTTGTGATAATGAATATGCTAACTATCCTAATTTGACCATTATACATTGTATACATGTACTGATATTCAACTCTGTGCCCCACAAATATGTATAATACGTTTCAATAAAAATAAATAAATAAATAATTTCTTTATTTAATAAAAAAAGAGAAAGAGAACCTAGTCTCAATTGACACCATCTACCTCTAAATTCTCAGTGGGCTGCAGTAACATGACAATCAAAATTCTTACCTCTATATATTGTTAATTTTTTATATTAAAACACTTGATAACTTCATTAAGTACTTCGACTAAGATTTCATAGATGTCACTCAAAGAAATCACTAATTAATTTCATTTGAGTTTTTATTTTACTGTAAAACATTGAGATGGGATGACAGGATTTCTCAGGATTGGGTCCATATTTTAACTCAATGAAAATTTATAATTTATAATCTTCTCAAATGCCTGTCAAATTTACTGTTAATTATCTCAATCAGAATTAGTTTTACACAATAATCAACCACATTGTACATCGACAAAATAAAATTTAAAAAAAAAATTAGTTTTAGCATCTTTTCAACTTAAACAAGCAACTAGATCCACAATTTATATTACCTGTCATTTTTTTCCTATATTAAACTTCTATCATTGTTTAAACCCATTACAATATTTAATCTTTCCAAATAAACAACAGTTTAAAATCACCTCCATAATAGACAGCTGCCATTCTGGTTTTCTTCCTCTGACTAAACAAACTGAATGCTTAAGATTTTCCACTTTGGCCTCTAGCAGTACACAGTGCAAGACTCTGCATTCTAGACTTCTTAAATTATAGAGAAAGAAATGTACACTTTTTGTATTCTTTCAAAGAAGGACTGGGAGGCAATATTGTTATTTGTCCATTTCTGTTCCTTATAACAGAATACCTGAAAGTAGGTAATTTATATGAAAACAAAATTTATTTCTTACAATTTGGAGGCTATGAAGTCTACACTCCAGGGGGGCCTGCGGTGCAGGCCTTCTTGACGTTGATGACTCTACAGGTCACATTAATGGGATGAGCAAGAGACAGCTAATCTCCTCACTTACTCTCCTTTTAGAGCCATCATAACTTCACCCATTACCACCCCTTCATTCATCAATGTATTAACCCATTCACAAGGGTACAGCCCTCACAATCTAATCACCTCTTAAAAGACCCCACCTTTCAATTACCACAATTGTATTTCCCTCCGTGTTAACACAATAGCAATGAAGACTAAGTTCCCAATTACGAACCTTTGGGGCACACATTTAACCCACAGCAATTATATACCATATTCGGTACTTATATGCATGGACTACTCTATTGCATGTGTTTCAAGTCCTTTTTTTTCAACCACACATTAACTCAACATCAATGTATGTTCCATCAGAATCAGTTTAACTAGGAGTTGCCAGAAGATCTTCAGGGGTGTCAGTGAAGGTCCCCATGTTGTGAGTCCAAGGACTTTTCTGAAAAGAAAACTATACATAGCCTTTTATCAGATGCTCACAGGTCTATAATCCTCCCCACTTCCAAAATATTAAAAATCACTTCACTGAATACTTTTATTTTACAAAACTTTAATGTGTGGGACTGACTGTTTAGTATAATTTGACATCATTCAGTATCCAATCCTGTTGTCCAAATTACTGGCACCCCCTAACAAGTATTAGTTTTATAAACAGGAATAGACACTTTGGTTCCATTTTTACACTTTTACAATTAAGCGTACTACATTTCTATCACTTAAAATGTTTTAGTTATTGTCAGATATAACCGGATTACATCTTAACCCATAGTACTTCACAGAGTTCATGATTTTAAATAAAGGCAAATTAAATAACACTTGAATTCTAAATCTAAATACATTCAGGCGATAGTGACACTTGCAATTGTTTCAAAATTATTAGACAATATATCATTCATTTTCTTGAAATGAACTTAGAATAAAAGGCAGCAAAAAGGTCTTTATAAGGAGTGTCTGAATTTGATTTGGTCAACGGTATTCGGCAAAGTTGGCGAAATCCAGGAGAACGCAGCAGCAAATTCTGGAAAAGGCCCATGATACTGGAGCATAACCAGTAGAGAACAATTGACTATAACGAGAAGACATGAATATTAGCACCTGTAAATTCTCTAGGGACACCAAAGGTCCAAAGATAGGAAGGAAATTAAAAAAAAAAAAAAGACAATTTATGTAAACAGAATTATATCAGGACTGAGACAAGATCTGCAGCAGCTATTAGAAACCTGTGACAGACCTAACAGATATGTAAAAAAGGCTGAAAGGAAAATGAAAAATCAAAAAGAAAACAAAAAGAGGTACTTATGGTAGAAAGTGGATGAAAGAGAGCAACTCCCAGACAAAGGCTCAAAAGAGATCTCACCTCCCCTCTTTGACCATTAAACATATTTTTTCCCTACCAACAGTCCTGACAAGTTGCTTATATTGAAGGTGGGATACTGGGGGTGTCGAAATTTATGATGGGAAACTTAGCCTCTCTCGACCTTATTTTTCCCCATACAGTCATCTATTTTACAATTTCTTCCCAGTAAACAGTTTCTCAGTGTAGTCAGGAATGCATTTTCTTTGCCCTCTTCTGAGACAAACAGTCTCAGCATCTTCATCTTTCCTTTTTTATTACCAGTCAGATTGTTTATTTAGGTCAATGACTAAGTTCTGCAGCCTCTCAATACAATCCTATATATACATCTATTCCAAACTTTTCTTTGGAATCAGAAGGTAATCAGGCCCCAAAAACAGAACCATGTGGTTGTTGAACCATGTACCAGTCCCAGAGTTAGACTGCCTAAGTTTGAATCCTATTTGCCATTTATTTGACTTCCGGTAAGTTATTTTTCTTCTGTTTCAGTTTCCTCCTCTATAAAATGGGGAAAGTAACTGTACCTATTTCAGAGGATTGCTGTGACGAATAAATAAGATAATCCACAGAGTGGTAAGCACAGTATTCGCCCACATCAAGCACTTGCATTTGTTCCAAAGCCAGTTTTTAGGGGCAGAAAGTAACATATCCTCAAGGCAGATAAGCACAGTAGTTAAGAGCAGGAGCCAAACTGCCTGGATGTGTATTAAGACTCTGCCACTTAATAGCTAGGTGACCTTGAATGAACTACTTAACCTCCTATGCCTTAGTTTCCTCATCGCCAAAGAAGAGATTACAATAGTACCTACTTCATTGCACTGTTGGGAGAATTATATGTAGTAATATATGTAAACCATTTAAAACAGTGCCTGGCACAAAATCAATGTTGAATAAATAGCTACCATCATCACCTGACTTATCCACCAACCAAAAAAGTACCTCAGCCCAAACACAGCAGACTACACACTAAATATCAATCCCCCTTTTCCTTAGTAACAAAATCCTAAGTTTTAGCTGGGCACACTGCCATTTCACAAAAAGATTACACTTCCCAGCCTCTTCTGCAGCTCGGTATGGCCACATAATTAAGAGGTAAGCACAACTGTTTGGTCAGATATCAGGGAAGCCTCCTGATAGGGACTGACTGCACTTGAACCCTTTACCATTCCTGCAAGATAATAAGCTCCAACAGCCATTATGACCCTACTGGGGGCTTGATGACAGAAATCACAGAATGATGGGGATGATGGAACAGAAAGACAGAAGCAAGGTTGGGTCTCTCATGTCTTCATGGAGTTGCCACATCTTCCCTAAACTGCCTAACTCTGAATTTCCTATATTTAAGAGAATAATCTTCGGTATATAAGATACTATTTTTTAGAACTCTGTCACTCACTTTGAACCCAATCCCTCACTGAAATTACACTGCTCCTATTTTATTTCATCTGGGCGTTTCCTCAGTTATAACTGACACTTTTTCTCTCTAGAAATGTAGTGAATCTATACTGTTGTAATTCTATGGGGTATTTTACATTACTATTTTTATGTAAAAAGTACCATAATAGAGGGCCAGCCCATGGCTCACTTGGGAGAGTGTGGTGCTGATAACACCAAAGCCGTGGGTTCGGATCCCTATATAGGGATGGCCAGTTAGCTTACTTGGGAGAGTGTGGTGTTGACAACATCAAGTTAAGGGTTAAGATCCCCTTACCGGTCATCTTTTTTTAAAAAAAACTACTATCATAGGCACACAGGCACTTGATGTTATTTCATTAATTCTTACAGACATTATGATGTCTATTTTAGAGATGAGGAAACTTACTTATTTTGCCCAGGATTAATGACAGTATTACATCCAAGTGACAGTTTTAAAAATACATTTTGATCCCCAAAATATATGGCTTCAGATTCCTCAAAGAAGTACTGTGAAGTGCTTTTATATATGCTGATATAACCCTAATACTAGCAACAACTGAATTCTACTTTATGGTCTATGTGTTGGCTCTGAGTAAAGATGGAGATACACCTGACATAGCTTTTGCCGTCTTAACAACTTCCGAAGTATCTGTGGGAAATATGCAAAAGACTGAAATAACTACAAACATTCTTTGTCCATTTCTATCAGAAGTTTAATTGGGTATAACCAGGGACAAGTGTACCCATCTCATAGGGTTGTTATGAGGTTAAATAATATTATATATGAACCCATATAGGCTTGGCACAAACTTTTCTTTTTTAAATGCTAAATTCCTTGGTCCAGTCTATACAGGCAGGAAGAATTCAATATATCAACTCATCAAACAAAGCAAATACTATATTCATGGTATTGTACAGGTACTTTGCAAAATTTTTTTAAAAAAGAGAAAGAAAGGAAAATGGAGTCTGATTTAGTAGGAGAGTTATAACACATTCACATAAAAGAAGATTAATCAATCCCTAGAAATATTCAAGTGTCACTTGGTGATAGAGACAGTTAGATTAGTTATTACAGACATTCCGAAATCAGTGAGGAATCAAGTAGTCAGGGGAAGCTCAATGGAAGAGGCAGGATTCCAGCCAGTCTAAGGACAGAGAGGATTTAGCACATGCTACACAATATTGGTGCTTACTCACAGACGGTACTGTTGCAGCAATTGGAATCATCAACACTGATACTGCACGGACAAAGTATGTAATATACGTCTGAAAATGAGACATTCCAATTTTTTGTAGAGCAAAAATCTGAAGGGGTAGAATATATACACACACAAGTATTATTAAAATGCATAAGTCAGACAAGCTTTAAAATACAAATTGATTTTTGACTGGCCTCCACCTACACGTTAGTAAGAGCAAAAAGAAATAAAAAATAAAAAACTGATGAATTTATATGGTTGATCATCCATCTTTTAAAAAACTTAATAATTATAGCTGGCCAGTTGGCTGAGTTGATTAGAGCAAGGTGCCAAAGTCTGGGGTTCATTCCCTGTACTGGCAGCAAAAAAAACCCAAAAAAACAAAAAACAAAAAACTCCTTAATAATTATACAAAAATTCTTAAATGGAGGTTGAAGAGTCCCTTGAAGATAGGTACTATATATGAATGATTGCCCTTGTTTTTCCGCCCCTGAGTACATGGAGAAGGTACTCACTACATGAAGTAAGGGGAAGAACCAAGGATAGGAAAAGCAGTTATGATTTTGAAATACTTATTTAAGAGATAGTATAGTGTAATAATTATGACTCTAGAGCCAAACTACTTAGGTTCACATGACAGCCCTGCATTTTCACTTGCTATGTAACTTTGTAGAAGTTATTTAACCTTTCTGCACCTCACTTTCTTCACCTTAAAACAGTGCACACCTCAAAAGATTATTCTAAGAATTAAATGAGTTAATTCATGTAAATTGCTTACAACAATGTCTAGCACATAGCATAATTTAAGTAAGAATAAGTTTTTATTAGTTGTTAGATGGTACAGAGGAAAAGATTACAGGACTAACATTAACACATTGTGACCTTGTATTTATCACTTCCTTCTTTCTACCAAATATGCACTGAATACCAAGCACATTCAGAAGACTATGCTAAATGTTCTTAGGGAAACACATTTAAACTACACATAAAATCTTTACTCAAGAAACTTTCACCCAAGACCTTAGATTCTATCATCTTCATTCTCCTCATCTGATAAAATAAGGGGTATATTAGATTTTCCAAACAGGAACCAGTGGACTTGAGGTCTGTTAGAACTAAACTGAAGTATATCATTCCTAAGGTTTATTCCAGTTCCATCTATATTCTACCCAGAGCCTGAGAACAGCTCTTTATGTAATTATAAGCACGCTTTCCCTAAACTGTTGAGTAAAGCAGCATGGGATAATGCCTAAGACATGACTGAGAAGTCATATTTGATATGTTATATATTTTTCCAGTTCAGCTTATAAAGAAATTTGGTGACTTTTCTGAGGTCACATATTAAACATACACACAAACCACCACTCTATTGTAGGAATAAAACCCGACTGATAAGGTATCTTAATTACTGTCTTTACCAAAAAGCAAATCACAAAATTGTGTGTATTAGAATCATATAATTTTAAAGCTGAAAGAGACTTTGGAAGAGTTCTAATTCAGCACTCTTATTTTAATTATGAAAATTCTGAGGCCCAGAGAGGTTAAGCAACTGACTTAAGTCAATGGCTGATCTGGGACCAAAAGCCATAGTCTCAATTCGAGCTCAGAGATATCTCTACCAACTCAATTCATCCATGTATATTTGATGTCAAAACAGCAGCAACAAAAATCCCAATGATTTAAATGGCAAACAAATTTCATTTAAGACCACTGACCTCCACTATTAATAAATTGATGACACCGATGGAGACAGGCAGAATCCAAGTGGAATCCAGAGCGGTGAGGTCAGGAAACCACAGGACCCCACCAGTAGCTAACTGTTCCTGAACAGAAAAACCTGCTGAAACAGTTTTATAAATAAAACAACAGAATTCTTAAAAATAACAAAAGGAAATATACAAAACATACGTAGTCTGACAATTCTAATAAGCTACCCCTCACACTAAATATTTATATTGGTTTTATTTAGGTTATTTTCATTCAGAATGTAATTTTTTCCCCCTCAATACAGCTAATCTGTATACCTTTGTAACGAAGATATTAAATGTATCCTAATTAGGGCCGACCCGTGGCACACTCGGGAGAGTGCGGCGCTAGGAGCACAGCGACGCTACCACCACGGGTTCGGATCCTATATTGGAATGGCCAGTGCGCTCACTGGCTGAGCGCGGTGCGTGCGACACCACACCAAGGGTTGCGATCCCCTTACCGGTCACAAAAAAGACAAAAAAAAAAAAATGTATCCTAATTATATAAAGTATGATTTTTTTTTTTTTTTTTGAGTACAAAGACAATGTTAGAGAACATATTTGGGAGAAGCAAACTTCTATAATAATTACCTTCTGAATGTGTTGCCCCTGTACTAAAATTTCGGAGGGCAACAGATATGAAGATCCACATCGGAAGCTGAATCCAGAACAACACAGTGGCTTTGAAAGGGTGACAGTTATCCCGAACATACAGCTCTGAAACAAACCTCCTCATATACTTTAAATAAGTGAGCCTGGATTGAGGGAAGGGGGGAAAAAGCGAAAAGAGAAAAATGTCATTTGACTACCAACTGTGCTTCATCCCCCTATCACAAATATACACGTGATGTAGTTATTGCCTAATGATTTGTACAGGGGGTTTGGTTGTCATAAAGGTTGTGTTACAGTGCTGCCTAAACAAAAGACAAATGAAGCCTTTTACTGAAACTTCTATATCAATGTACACAAATTACACAACAATCTGATAAAACTGACACTGTCAGACTACAAGCTTTGTCTCTGGTGGTGTTCGGCCAATTAGCCTTTTTTTTTTTTTTTAACATTGTTAAAAATATTTACTTTGATAAACCCTATCATAAATAAATAATGACAGATTTCACTCTGCCACAAATGCATCTGTAAAGAGCCCTGTGCCATCCAACTGGTGATCATTGGAACTAGTCTCATCTCTTATGCCAGAGCATAAACCTTCCATGCTGTTCCTATCCACTGATTGCTTCCAAATCCAGATGACCAAACAGACCTTTATCCCCAAGGAAAATAGGCTCAAAACAGTTGGTTCAGGCATTTCAAGATCTGCACCCCTCTAAAATTCCAATCAAGTAAATCAGGAGAGGAATAAAGCCATAACAGATGGCAAACTGGCCGCCCTTGAAGAGCTGCTGCAGCCTCTGCTCAGCTTCACCATGACAATTGGCAGGGCAATCCAATTAGCTTTTAACAAGAAAAATTTCACTACTGACATGGTATAACCACAAAAAAATATCAGAAATACCAAAGCTGAAAGCACATTTTACTCAAATCTCTCCACTCCCTGAATATACTTTTTGTAGCTATGTGGTTTTGTATTGTGTATGCTCTTGGCCTGTCAAAATGGTCTCCATTTTTCAATCAACTCTCTCATGAAGATTTTACTAATCTGTTTCTCTGTTAACCATTTTAGTTACTCTTGCTCTTAAGTCTTACTTTCTAGACTACAGTCTCTTTCAGGCACAAGTGTTGGGTCTTATTCATCTTTAAATCTCTTGTATCACACATTTTGTACAAGGCAGGCATTCAATATTTTTGCTGAATTTAACCAAATTATAGTATACTGAATTAAGATAGTATACACAGACATTCCAGGCCCTTTGTTATTTAGCGTCTGCCTATTCTTCCAACTTTATCTCTTGTTATTCCTCCACAGGCATCTGCATACTCTGGCCCCTGAATGACTTTAGGTCATCCAACAAATCAGACTCCCACATCAGCATGCCTTTGAAAGTACAGTATCATATGTATGGACAGTCCATTCTCCTGGCTATCCACTTGACAAATTCCCATTCAGCCTTCAAGACCCAGTACTATTGTAAATGCAGGAAGCCCTCAGACGTGTCTTCCTAAAAAGCCACCCAACTTTTGTAAGAATGCATCTGGACAACCATCCAGCCAGCACTGCATAAGCAAGGCGCCACAAGTCTTATCTAGGCTGCATTTATAATCCAAGTGAGCAGCTGCTAATCTGTTCTTTTAGCCTCTATCTGTAATTCTCAGATTTCTCTGACCAGTATAATTTCAAAACCATAAATTTATCAACTTTTAGTTCTACAAGTAGAGACATTAAGCTATCACATTGTTTTTTTTTTTAAATCAGACCTTTTTAACACAAAAAAAGATGGCCACAATCTCATATTAAAGATAGTTGGTAAATTTACACCTATATAAATAGATAACTATATATAACACATATTCATACTACAAAGCCCTTATTTTTATTTATTTTTATTTTTTATATTTTTTATTTGTGTAGTACACTTATATTTCAATACATGTATACAATGTATGATGATCAAATTAGCATATTCATCATTGCAAAAATTTATCATTTTTGAATAAGAAGATTTGAACTCCTCTCTTCTAGCCATCTGAGAACATACAATAAATTACTGTTAATTACAGACGCCTAGCACTACTGTACACCACTAGAATTTATTTTTCCGATCTAGCTGTAATTCTGCATCCATTAAGCAACCTTAATTTTTCTTATTGCTATGAACTGGTTAACACTTTGTCAATCAAGGAACAGAATTTGGGAAACTAAGTAGTAGCTTAAGTTGATTGAAGGAGGAAAACTTAGAAGTCCCCAGTGAATGACTGCAGGCATCCTTGGACATGCACAGTCAAGAACACTTGGGCAAGGGCTTTCCAAGAACCCGGCGGAGAAAACCACACAGAATAATCACAGCGCATGGAAAGCACCTTGGCTCTCCAAGTGCTTCTACCATGGCATTTACATTTTCTACTTCCCCATTCCTGTGGGCTATTACCTGTGGCATCTTTTAGAAAAGGTCAAGTTTGTAAATAATCTGCCATTTGTTGACCAATATCCCAACAGAACAGCAAAGTATCTTCACTCTGTGAAGGCATCTCTGACTTTCCTTGATAACCTAGCCCCTTGTACATAATCTTTATACGGTACTTAACTCACTGCCATTATTATTTGATTACAGGTATGTCTTTTTCAGTGTGCTAGAGTCCCTCAAGAACAGAAACATGCTCTTCTCCTTGTTTCTCCTTTTTTTACTTTCATTTCTTTGCTTTGCTTTTATAGCCACATATGACTTATTAAAAATATTAAAGAGTAAAAGAACTACTGTTTTTTTTTTTTTCTTTCTTTTTTTTGTAGAAGATGACCGGTAAGGGGATCTTAACCCTGCACTTGGTGTTGTCAGCACCATGTTCACCCAGTGAGCTAACCGGCCATCCCTATATGGGATCCAACCCCGTGGCCTTGGTGTTATCAGCTCTCCCAAGTGAGCCACGGGCCGGCCCCATTTCACTCATTTTATTATTTATTTATTTATTTATTATTATTATTTTTTAATAATTTAATTTTTTCGATATACAATGTGGTTGGTTAATGTGGCCCAGTACCAAAACCTCCCTCCTCCTCGCTCTCCTCCCTCCCACCCAACAGTGTCCTTTCTGTTTGCTTGTCATATCGACTTCAAGGAACTGTAGTTGTTATGTCTTCTCCCCCCACCCCCCCCGGTTTTTTTATATTAAGTGAAACAAGTCAGGCACAGAAAGAGAAATACTACATGTTCTCACTTATTGGTGGGAGCTAAAAATAAATAAATAAATTCACACACACACACACACAAATAAATAATTAAATAAATAAAAGAACTACTTTAATGCCAAAGCTACAGAATACCAAACCTGTAATTAACATCACCATTAACACATTTTATATATATTCATGTTAATATGCATAGAATTAGTTCACCTGGCAACTCTTTTGGACCACCCCAACTGATGTGCACGAACTGCAACTTCTTGATTCAGATGCCTGGCAATGTTTTTTATTTCCGGCTGCAAATTTTCTACCTAGCTAAAGAAAAAACATAACTTATTACAAGCACATAAAGGATCTTTATTCATAACCACTCATAATTTTACTCTCTATTCCCTTCACTCATTTAAAAATGTGGTTTACTGATCACATCAAGAAACCTTAAATCTAAGAATAAGATGCTAATTTGCTTAACATGCTCTCATTCACAACCAAACTCAAATTCTAGCTTGTATACTTAGCTGTGTGATTCTGGGCAGGTTACTTAGCTTCTAAAATCCTGTTCCCTCACACAAAAAATTTGTAACAGCACCTACTTCACAGGGTTATTATAAGGATTAAATGAGAACTGAACCCTGGGCATTACTATTCCATCCCTAGATTTCCCAGTAATGTAGACAGAGAAAATCGTCTATTAAGTCTTTAATGCGCTCTGATAGCCACAAATCAAAAATAAAAATTGCATTTATTCCTGCCCTGTGTTAATTCCTCCTGTAAAGTAGCTCACTGTCTTAATGCTGCTGCTGATTCCCTACTTGTTTTGCTGTGGGTTTTCCTAATCATGAAACAGTAGTCCCCCATTATCCATGCTTTCTTACCTGCAATACAGTAAAACAGATATTTTAAGAGACAACTTTTATTTATTGTAACTGTTTTGTTTTATTATGTTAATGTCTTACTGTGCCTAATTTATAAATTATACCTTACCATAAATATGTATGTGTAGGGAAAAACAGTATATATAAGGTTCGGTACTATCCGTGGTTTCAGGCATCCACTGGGGCTCTTGGAACATTATACTCCCAAGATAAGGGTAGACTACTGTAATCCGAAAACATGAAAGCCATTATTCTTGAAATGTCACATATGAATAATCCCTTGTCTTCAAAGCACTTTAACCCATATAATCTGATTTGATCTCACAACATCGTGAAATAGGAAAAGACGGTATTGCCATCCTGATTCCACAGAAAACAGAACGAAGCACCACAAGGTCAAGTTACGGCAATTGACCGGACACAGGCTTAAAAGTGGTAAGGCCTAAACAAGGAATCAAGTTTACAAACTGCTAGCTCAAGTAGTTATTTTCTAGTAAGAAAGATCAGTTGGAATACTTTGGGAGGAAAGATACACAGACATACCGGCTGTTAAAATTTTACGACTGCAATTTTATAGGTTTCTCCGCACAATTTTTGCTATTGATTCCTTTGTTTCAATTCGATAAGAGACAGTTTAGTAACCACTTGTGCTTCGAGCACAAACCAAGTAGGGCAAAGGAAATGACAGGTACATGTGTCAACAAGCATCTCTTATTTAACATATCCAATACTAGTTAAAATTTTTAGCAATAAAGTGGTCACGATGATTCTGATTCCGACACTATCCTGGGCTCCAGAGCCCAGCGTGGACGCCGACCTTCATCCGCGCGGCGGCGGACGCGCAGGGTACACGCCCAGCTCAGCGCCCCTCACCTTGGACAGGATGTAGTGCTGGTAGGCCGCCAGGGGCAACGTGACAACAACGCGCAAGGCCACGGTGGTGAGCAGAATGCTGCCCCACCAGGGCAGGCCCGTGGCGGCGTGCGCGCCGAGCAGCACTTCCTCCGCGCCCCGCACCGGCGCCGACGCTGCCAGGGCCTCGTACCAGCCGCCCGCGCCGCCTGAGCCAACTGTAGAGACTGTGGCCACCGCCCACACTGGGAGAGCGGGGCGCTTGGCGCCACTCGTTGGGACCGGCGCTAGCAGCGGGCCCCCAGCCTGGAGCTGCAGGGCAGGCAACAGACGCGGCCACCGACAGCCAAGTCGACACAGCATGCCTGCGCCAGGGCGGAACTCTAAACGCGAGCCCAGCGGACCAGCGACAAGCACCGCTAGGTCGAGGCCGTCACGAGCATGCGCCAGCGACGGCAGGCGTAAAGTACGTGCGCGCCCACCCGCCGCACTGGAGATGACGCAAGAGATAGGGAAGTCCCACCTTTCCCACGCGGCAGTGGGCAGGCCTACTGCGCACACACGGAACTTTCCCGCTGCTGGGTGGGGAGCTCACGGGGGACCTGGACCGGAATTACTAAGCCAGGGGCGGGGCCTACTGCCCTGGACCGGGAGGGGTGTTCTTTTGGGAGTGCTAGCCTTGTGAAATCATTCTTTACCGTGTACCTTTCCATTCTTTTTCTCGGAAGCTAATGTCTTTTGTAGAGGAATACCGCTTGGTGGGTAGTTTTTGTGACCGGAAGCTGGTCCCGCACCTCTTTACATGCACGTGATTGCTTCCTGTAGAGAGTAGGATAGATCAGTGCTCGAGTCAACACTGCTGACATACCAGCTTGAAGAGCGACACGTGTTCTTGGCTGACACGGAGTGCTAATCAGCATCCTAAAGGTTGGCCCATCTGTTCCAGTTAGCATTTTTCAACCCCACCTGCAAATTGAGTTTCCTTTGATGTTTTAATCTTTAATTATAAATAGTAAAATATATTAAGGGTAAAGGGCCATCTCCTGACTCAAGGGGAATTAGCACTGGCAGCGCAGTGAATTCTTTACTCGAGCTTCCTTTATCCTAAATAAGCCTTAAATAACCTGAAAAGCAGCATTAGATGTCTTCTTAAACACGTCGAGTATACACGGACTACAGTTTTTAGTTTTGTGTTCCTGGCAACAGCAAATAGATTGGCATGACATGGAGGGGTTTCCTCACAGAAGGGTCACTCCAACACCTAGAGGCCAAAATGTGTTGTAAGAAATAACATGTTGATTTTAAAAAGAAGTCCTTGACAAATGTTGGATAATGTCAAACTGTAGCTACTGTTCTTCTTACTTCATTGTACACCTAAAAAGGGTACCAGATATTCTTTTTTCTGGTTTCTGGAAGTCATTTTCCAATTGACTTATAAATCTATATATTAATGTTTAAATGTGTGTTTAAACGTACACGTCACAATATATGTGACATACAGACTTCTTCTAAAAGAAAAACACGATCTCTCTATCCATTTGTTAAGTTTAAAGAAACAATCAGTTGCTACTGACTATACTGACTTAAAAGTGGAAACATTCAATTTTATTTTTTATTTATTTTTTGACCGGTAAGGGGATCGCGACCCTCGGCACGGTGTTGTCCGCACCACGCTCAGCCAGCGAGTGCACCAGCCATCCCTATACAGGATCCGAACCCGCGGCCTTGGCGCTACCAGTGCCGCACTCTCCCGAGTGAGCCACGGGGCTGGCCCCGAATTCAATTTTAAATGGAAATTTCTTCACCTAAACATTGTGGGAATAAGAAAGACTTCTATGCTGCTGCATTCCCCTCCTTCCAGAGAACTGATGACATTGAGAATTGGCCCTTCCACAGTGGCACATAGCTTAGGGACTCTGAATTTTTGATGTCCAGGGGACAGCGAAGTTGTTTTGAAAAACCAAACAAACAAACCCTAAAACTACAAATCCATATTTATGCATTTACTATTTATAATCTAAACCCAGAGTTCAAGCTGTTCTTTAAATCTCTAAGACTTCATTCTGTGACAACGCAATATCAGGGATCAGGACTGCGACCTCAACTACTGTAGGTTCGCCTGTTCTGCCATATATTGAGGTTACATATATTTGCATTTTAAAAAGCATTGCCTAAGTTTGAGTATTGTGATCTAAATAAAATTTATGAATGTTTAATTTTTGCTAATTTCATATATATGCATATAAACACACTAATACAAATAATGGGGATGATTAGAACTTGCTATTTACTTGGTAGAAAAGATTGGGGGAAGTGTTTTTCAATTATAAAGCTCAAAATAAAGTGTTACCACTAATGTGTATGTACTGGTCAACCAACATTGTGTTATCCTTTATCTTTTGAGATGCAGAGTACAGTATGACAATACAAATATTAAGCAAACCAACGAAAATCATTTGTTAACACTAACACTTTGCAAATGAACTAGTACAACATAGTAAATCATTGTTTGAATTCAACATTTATAATTAGCTTATTCCTGTCTTTAATATTACTGGTATGTCACATAACTAATTTTTTCTCTACTTTACTTAAAATACTTGAAAACAGACAGCATAATATTTTCTTTCTGCAGTCTCTGAAATTCTTATCCATTATGGTGCTGAACACCAGAATAGAGCTTGCTGTAGACCATTTGTATCTTTCCAAAATTCATAGTGAAAACTCTAATACCCAATGTGATGGTATTTGGAGGTAGGGCCTTTGGGAGGTAATAGTTTATAAGGGTGGGGCCCTCCTGAATTAGATTAGTGCCATTATAAGAAGAGAAGCAAGAGAGATGACCTCTCTCTGTCCCATGTGAGGAAACAAAGAAAATGGCCATCTGCAAACCAGGAAGAAAGCCCTCACCAGGAATTGAATAGGCGGGCACGTTGACATTGGACATTGTAGCTTTCAGAAACTGTGAGAATAAATTTCTGTTGTTTAAGCCACCTAGTCAATATATTTTTGTTATAGCAGCCTGAACTAAGACAGTGCTCAAAATTGGAATATAGGTTATTATTATTGTGTTTTATAGTCATTTAGATTTCTCATTTACCAAATATGCCTTCTGAAATGTTTGTCAGAAAAACCATTAAATTATTTCTCATAAGCAATTGTTAAAGTGATTCCTTGGAATCAGATTTAAGTTTATTGCCTTTTCTTTTCTTTAAGGCACTACATTTCAAAACCAAAGCTACCTAATGTAGAATTAGCTTTTTCTTTCTCTTCACTGAAAAATTCATTGTCACCTTTCTTATCATCGGTTTTCAAGTATTGAACATGCAAAGTTGGCTTTAATTTTTCAAAAGTGTGAATTCATTTAAAAGTTGAAGTCTAATATGAAACCTTTTATAACACAACTATTAGTCCTGTACTGTCGCATTTTAAAGGAATTTTGTCAAAGCCATAGTGGCACGTTTTTCTCTATATTTACTTACCCAAAATTCAAGTGATAGTTTTGCAATCAAGGTGTGTGACACAATAAATGGTATTAAAGTGCTATGATGCACTCATCTTAACTTCCAGTCACCTGAGTTAATCAAATGCTATGACTTGTTTAACATTTTTCAATTGGATGTGTATTTCCAAAGAGAGTGAGGAGCACCCAAAATTTACAAAGCATAATCTAAGTATACCAAACATCAATATTAAAAGTACAAAACATCTGGATAGATTCATTTATCTAAAGTAAAATTACATTGAGACAATAAAATACCAAATCTCTACTTAGTGATTGAACAGTGAATTGGTTTTCCTTTGATATTTTAATCATTTTCAATAATCCTGATTTTAAAATTTGTTATCTAAGAGAAAGTTTTGGTACACTTTAAATGTTCTGTAATGCCAGATCTGTGGGAATGTTTTTGAAAAACATCAAAAAGAAAATAAATTGAATAAATCAGAGGATCTCAAGAGGTTTTGTAATCTTGACTTTCCCTGTTCAGTCTAACACTTTGTACTGTTTTAAAAATAAAGTGAATACAGTGAGTAAAATAATTTTTATGAAATGCATAGTTAGATAATTTGAGTCAGAAGACAGAATACTATTTTTGAGATGAACGAGAGAAGATTAATAAGCTATTTACCCTTTTTCCAGACAGGAAATGTGAATATACATTTAGTAATTTCCCAAAATTAATTTTCACTTCCTAATAAAATAAAAATGATTTTGCTTTACAGTAATGAGAAATACAAGTAGAAGGGGAACTTTCTTTCACATAAGTACTAAAATCACTTTTGGGGTATATGTTGAAATATATGTTGAAAAGGCATAATATGGGGATTTTGTTGGGAATGGTAAACAAAATCATCTCTAAAATGTAACAGATTACACAATAATTGGGATATTCACTATTTTGGGATTTAATGTGTGAACTAACTCAAGTATTATTTCCAAGAGTTAAATCACTTCTTTAAAAAATTACAGAAAATAAATATGTCATGCATTCCGTTTATACATACCACATACTTTCAAAAAGGAAAAAAAAAAAGACCTGCAAGGTCTCAAAAACTTATGTTTTTTTTTTTATTGTTTAAATAAAAATGCACTGCATTACATCTGAAATATAAAAAAAAACTACTTGAAAAATGTTTCTAGTACAGATTTCTGAAACCATGGTATTGTACTTATCAAGCCTGATCCCCAAAACTAACTATGGAGCATTCCAATCTATATCCCTTTGTCCCACAGTTTTAAAGTCAAAAAAATATAGGGTTTTCTCTCTTCTTTTTTTAGTAACACACCCCATCTTAAGAAATTCATTTCTTAAACAATACGACTCATGTGTTGTAATAATTATTGAGTAGCATGTGTTCTGCAGCAGGATTATCTTAAATAGAAAATAATCCTAGTTAACACAGGAAAGAATTAAGCAAAAAAATACAGAATAGTGGTAAAAGTCATATGTAAAATACTCTATTAAATAATATTACACCCCTTTCTTAGTAAAGTGCTATAATTTTATTTCATAGCTATATTTACTTGTAGGATATCTTTTAGCTTTTCCTTTAAATTTGGGCATATTAATCCTAGACAGGTGGAAAAACAAATTTATGTATTTTAACATCATCTCCTAAATTAAAAGATATGAGTGTGTTGTTTACAAACTTCGAAATCATCTTTCTACTCTTTACTCAGTCAACCAGAGTCAAGAAATCATTTCATTTAATTGAACAGCCAAGGAACCATATTGTCATCTCTGGTGATTTCTATGAATTTTAGTTAACGTTTATGTTTACCAGTGTGGAATTTGTGTCTAATTTTAAAAAAGACAAATTGATATATACATTACTACACTTTTATGCTTTTCTTTTACATTTCAACCATATAATTTATTTTTCCATCTGAGACAGGGTAGGACACAT